AGCGTGACCACCTACGCCAGGTCGATCCCGGGGACCCCCGTCTGAGGGAGCTTAATTTAGAGATTCGGCAACTGGTAAATCAGCACAAGCGGAAAATGTGGGAGACAGAAAATTCGATACTCAACGAAAATTTCGACACGCTTGCATAGCTCATAATACGAATTTCACTTTCGATCTTCGATCGTCGATAGCCAGCGAAGATCGAAAATCGAATGCAACTCATAATAAGGGCATTTGGCAAAAGAAAAACGCACAACTTCAATTTGATCACTCAAAATTTTGTAATCGAACCAAGCTTGCAAATTTTTTTTTTGTATATTATTCAACATCGATGGCATTTCTTGTATTCTCTTTTATGCTAATAGGACCACCTCTTGACTTTTCTAAAAAATTAAGTATTAAACAGTAAAAAAACAAAGAAAAATGTCTAAAACTTGTAAACACTTTTTTTCTATTAATTTTTTCACCACTGTATATATGTATGTAGTGCCTTCAAATATTGCACTATTTAAGTTTAGTAAAAATTTGTTTACTACCGCTGAATATAATTATAGTGAAGCAAATTAGTACTCAAGCTTTTATTGGTAGTGAATAAATTTTACGCGATCAGTAAAATAGATATTTGCATGTAACACATCTGCTATTGCTTTGTCGAGCTTCTCCTCCGATTTGTTGTGCGCGTCTTGATGATGTCACACAAAGATGAGGGATCTACAGTTTTATGCCGCCTCCGAACGGTAAATGGTTTTTTGATAAAAAGCTTTTTCACGGCAGAAATACCCTCAGAGGTTTGCCATTGCCCGAGGAGAGATGGCCACTGTTAAGTTTTTTATAATTTAGATGTTGTACACATCAGGGATCGGACCCAGGTCCTACAGAGTGCTAGTGCGCACCTCTGAGCAATCAGTGCATTCAAAATTTAGTGCACTACCCCGGTAACTCTGCTTGTCATGAAGAAAAGCAATATTGCGATTTCTAAATGCGAAAAAGCTTCGTAGCCACGTAAACCACGTAAACTTTTATCGGAAAACCAGTTTATTTACAAGTTTGCAGGCATTTATGCGTTTCCATGAATATCCTCAATATGACTCACCTCCATGAAATTATTTACTTCATATTCCAAGAGTTTCTCTTGCAGTGGTACACACTGAGTTTCACGCTCTAAGCTATATGCCCGCTGCAGTGTATACTCAGTTATATGCTGCAAAATATAGTCAACACAAGCGACAACCGCTTCATCCAACTTCAAATATATTGCTGCCTTCAGCATTGCGTCCACATTTTCGATGGTTATGAGTGCCTTGCCGGTGTAGCAAAATGTTATTAAACGCTCAAAGGTGTCACTGTCTATGTCATTTACTTCGATAACAGGAGTTAGGCCCTTGTCGCTTTTGAATAAATCTTTAAAATATGGACTTGCCGCTGATAGTATTAAGCGGTGTGCTGGAATCCTGTGAGAAGCCAAATTAAATAAAACATAAAAATGGTAAATGCATAAATAAATAAATCAGTGGTACGCTTACATAGTGGTCGGATTTGACAACTTAAATGTTACATCTATGAGGTCCTGTTCATCGTAAAAGTCGCATATATTATTCAGTACTTTCTTAATGAAATGAGGGAGGTCATCGCCATTTACATCCGGAAGTAGTTGACGTGTACTATTTGTTGCCATTGCTACTGGTATTGAAATTTTCTTCTTTGAT